GGTAAGAAATTCGCCAAAAATGCTGCGAAACGTCTCGAGTGCAAAGGGTTAAATCTATGAAATTATTCTTCGGATATATGCGTACTAATTCTTGCTGATCTTGCTGAAGTCTCTGTGAAAATTTAGTTACGCGGGGCCCTCTTCTAGATCATCAATCAAATGGTAACGGAATCTTCTTTTCTCGTGCCTTATTCGTTTCGTGTATTCTCGACGAGTAGCGGGGCCTCGTTTACTTGCGAATTGGAGGAGGAGATACAAGGGGAAGTAGGGAAGTCAGTGGAATAGAACGAGAATGGAACATTTTCGCGTGTTCGCAGGAGCAACGAGAAGAGGAAGGAGAAGTCTCGCGACGCTGCACGATGCCGTCGAAGCAAGGAGACGGACATTTTCACGGAATTGGCTGCGGCGCTTCCGGTGCCACCGGAACAGGCAGCTCACTTGGACAAGGCCAGTGTCATGAGATTAGCCATCGCCTATCTGAAAGTGCGCTCCGTCGTCGATTCCAGTAAGTATTTATTTATTTACTAGTTCTCTAAAAAAGAGAATTTTTCTTCGCTCCAAGTTCGAAAGCTCTCTCTTTACCTCGCCTCTATTTTTCTTTTTTTTTTTCAGTTCCAGGGACGGTGGCCAAGTCCGAGACGTTGAATCAAATGGACGAGTTATTTTCCAAAGCTCTGAACGGCTTCATGTTGGTGTTGTCCAGCGATGGGAACATGATCTACCTGTCGGAGAATGTCAGCGATTATCTCGGTGTGTCTCAGGTGCGTTTCCCGCTAAAAGTAAAGAGGAAAAGGGGGTAAAAATGGAAGGAGAGTCGATGCGTTGAGAGGATTCGTTTCTCGCTCCTTTCAGATGGACATGATGGGTCAGAGCGTGTACGAGTACAGTCACCCGTGCGACCACGAGGAGCTGCGGGAATGCCTGTCGTCGAAGCCACCCGAGAACAACGACAAGCGCACCTGCAGTTTCTTCCTGCGACTCAAGTGCACGTTGACCAGCAAAGGAAGGAAGGTCAATCTGAAAAGCGCTTCCTACAAGGTTAGAGCCGCGGTTTAACAAACCGATTCAGAGAGAGAGAGAGAGATTACGCAATGTGTTTCTCTTTTTGTGTCAGGTGATCCATTGTATCGGTAGGTTGACATACATCCGCGATCCAGCGTCGAGTCGGTCGGACGAAACGAAGGAAAACGCGGAAGAGAAACGAGAAGACGACGAAGAGAACGAACGTGACAGCGGTGCCTCGTTGGTGCTGCTGGGATGTCCCATACCGCATCCCAGCAACATAGAGATACCGTTGGGACGTCATACGTTCCTCTCGAAGCACAGCCTCAGCATGAAGTTCACGTACGCCGACGAGAAGTGAGTACAGTTTTTACAGACTGTTGCGAGAGTCAAACGTCGTGTGTAGAGTAATGTAAAGTGGGATCTTTTTTTTTGTTTCCTTCTGTACGTTCTTTTGTACGTTTTTTTTCTATTTGTTCTCGACGATAGGTTGGCCGAGTATCTGGGCTGGGACAGCGACGAGTTAGTGGGACAATCCGTTTTCGAGTTTCATCACGCCCTCGATAATTTGGCTCTGGACAAGTCTTTCAAATCACGTGAGTTGACGCCAATTGACGATCATTTGAATAAACGCGGTCGTACGCGACCCATTCGCTGTTTCAGAGGCCGGCCGTGAACGTGTTCTATTCGCACGCGTGCAAAAAGAGAAAAGAAAGAAGGATTTCCACGTGTGACTTCTCTAATTCGAATTTAATCTTTAAATATTAAATTTCTTTCTTTCTTTTTTTTCTTTTTTTTTTTTTTTTTTTTTTTTTAGTTTTGAAAATAGCGGATGACATTTAACAAAAATTTAGATGAACTTTCTCTCAAGTCTCAGAGACTTAATTTCTGGAGAATAGAGAGAGGAATCTGTTTTTTCTGCATCTAATTACGGAAGAGAGTCGATCGATTGTAAATTCAACTCGTCGTTGAAAAAAAAAAAAAAAAAAAAAAAAGGTTAAGTCGTGTGGCCATCGTTGGATAAAAAGAAGGTTAGTTTTGGGTTGAACGACACCATAAAAAGAAGGATTTCAAGGGTAGCAATCCTCTTAACGAGATTTTAGGGGCTAGCGCGTTTTACGAGTTACTATATTTAATTGGTTAGCTAGGAGAACAACTGTTGTTGCGTGTTTTAGCCTCGTTTTATCTGTAATATAAACGTATAAAACGTTCCTCTTGAACGATATATTTGAACGATCGCACGACGGTCAATTTTTTTTATTTATTCTTCAAAAAAAAAAAAAAAAAAAAAAAAAAAAAAAAAAAAAAAAAAAAAAA